GAAAATTAGATAAGTTATTTGTGGACAACTGTGCCACTAGAATTTTGACCTTACCCATAATGTTCCTATTATTTCTGACATATCACACACTGTGTGGTTTTCCCCCTGAAGCTTTATGTTCAACTCATTCAGATGGCCTGTGACATCTGCCAAAAAAGCTAGCTCAAGAACCCATTCAGGATCGGATAGAAATGGAATAGGGTATTTTTTGGAGGTGAAAAATTCTGCAATTTCTTTACGCAGAACAAAAAATCTATTGAGGACTTTTGCCCGACTGAGCCATCGGGCACTACGGTAATACGGTATGTCCGAGAATTGACAGCCAATTTCAGCAAGAAAAGCCTGAAACTGGCGGTGGTTCAAAGAGTGGCCTCTAATTTTATTTACCGCTTTCACTAGGACATCCATTACATTATCCACCGGCAAAGACTTGGCACAGAGTGCTTCTTGGTGAATAATGCAATGTATGTGGGGAAAGTTAAAGGGCAGACCTAAACCTTTGAGGTGTTTTCGGAGACGACAAACCAGGCCATCCTTCACATCACCTGCCATTGCCGGCGCTGCCTGCTGCCGGAGTCCTCGAACTTACTTTGTCCAACATAAGCGAAGTTGGCCAACCAGTTGGCCAACCAACCCATCCAACCTTACACGGAATTGACTTTCGAAGATTTAAAAATGAAATAAAAAATAAGCACAAATGAAGCCAAAATAAAAAAACACGCAGTTGAGCACTGTTCCTGGGTATATCCCCGACAACCTCATGTCCCCCAGACACGACTTGGCATCATAAAACACAACGCAACAAACAGCATCCAAGGCGACTTTGGAGACTGAGACCTGTTTTGTCTCAGGTACCACGGGTACTCCGTAGGTCTTAAAGTGTTCTTGGGCAACCCGAAAGTGCTGCCAACACACCGGGAGTCGAGATTTGAGCCCAGGAATAAAGGTCGCAGGGCTCAAAGCCGGCCGAAAGGCAAGTGCTCAACACTGTGTTGCACACTTTCTGGTGTCGGACTGGAAATTTGAATACATAAAAGTGTTCAACAGTAAATTTGAACACTTTAAAGTGTTCAAAGCTGCATGGCCCACCCTGAACTTGGACAGTTTTAAGTGTTCAACTTTGCAGTTAAACACTTCTTAGTATTCAAATATCTAGTCAAACACTCAAAAGTGTGAAACATACACTCTAAGAAAAATTCCAGATTTTTGTATCCAATTTGATATAGTTTTCTGTATCCGAGCACTGTGATACAGCAATATGTATCGGTGATACAAAATCTTATAATAGTTTTTAGAAATTTGTAAACATT